AAGAAACCATGACAGATGATGCTATCTCACAAGGCAAGCAGCTGTATGCAATTTTGACAACCATGCTTAGGGAGCGTCCTTTGCAATTGTTGAAGAGCATCCCTGGAAACAATGGGTACGAAGCTTGGAGGGTTCTGCGCACAACGTTGGCACCAACAAGCAAGACACGCGCATTGGCGTTGCTAGGAGCGATTTCTCAGTGTCCCAACATGTCCCAGGGTGACTTGCTCGAACAGTTGTTGAAGATGGAGGATCTTTTCAAGAAATATGAGCAAGCAGCGAACAAGCCGGTGCCTGAAGAGGTCAAATCAGCTCTTTTGGTTCGTGTTTTGCCTCAAAATGTGAAGTCCCACTTGACTGTGAGCATCAACGATGAATCTACGTATGATCAGATGCGTGAAGTTATCCTTCGGTGGGAGAGATCTTCGCAGAAATGGTCATCTCAGATTGTCACTGGTGTCCCTAATCCTAAAGCTCCTTATCATGATGATGGAGGTCTTGCGCCCATGGCTGTGGACAGGGTCAAGGGCAAGTGGGACAAGGGCAAGGGCAAGTACAACTCTGGGTACACAGGAGGCAAGGGAAAAGACAGCAAAGGAAAGGGAAAAGGCTATTCGGACAACAAGGGTGGCGGCAAGAATGGTGGGGGGAAGCCATGGAGCAAAGGTGGCAAGCCAAAAGGAGGAAAAGAAGGAAAAGGGAAGGAGTCTGGTTGGGGGCAAGGGAGAGAAGGGGAAGAAAGGCAAAGGCCAAGGAGGGGGAAAACTTCATCCAGAAGCGTGTCGTATTTGCGGCAAGCATGGTCACTGGGGAAACGAGTGCTGGATGAAGGACAAGGTCAGAAATGTTCATGACTCTTCCTCCTCATCATCATCTACTACCTCTACTACTCCCTCTACTACTTCCTCAGCAGCCCCATCGAGTGTGAAGCGCGTTTTCAATCTTGTGGAAAATGATTTGCGCAATGTTCCCCTCACCACAGTGTGTGAGATGGAGAGTGATACTTCGCAGGTATATTCTGTTGCTGCCTCAGATTGGTGGTGTAGGATGGTCCAGCACTATGATCTCCACATGAATGATGGAGATCAAGAGGTCATTGAGTGTCCGCTGAGTGCCTATGAAACTCACGACCTAACCATGTTTGATGCGTACGAGGCTGATCAGGCTTGGGTGTCAAGTGCCCAGGTCAGAGGAGTGAAGCAGCATGCCCAAGCATCAGCAAGTTCTTTGGTGGAAGGCAGTTTTCATCAAGTTGTTTTGGATTCAGGAGCTGATTTGAGTGTCATGCCTAGAGCATGGCTGGAGGCTGGAGTCGGCACCAGAAACGAAGGCGGCCCAAGTGTGAGAATGATGGATGCGCAAGGTGGGATCATGCCAAATTTTGGCAGTCGATGCGTGACACTTGATTTGGGGCAGGCGTGTGTTCAAGAAGTTTTTCATGCGTCGGATGTGGGTGCCCCATTACTGTCATTAGGTCGTTTGCTGAAGAAGGGTTGGAGTCTTGCACATAGGAACAACATGCTGC